ACTGGCAGGATCGAATGATGTTCTGGACCAGCATGACGCTCACTGGGTCAGACACCCAGCAATCGGTGACTCTGGTCATGATCCAGGGCCCAGTGGTCAGAGGGGTAGAGGTGCACGTCCAATGCCAGAGAGAAACAACATGATGGGCCATCACATCAGCGCGAGAGGCTCCGGGAGTCCTGTGAGCGACTCCAACCACCTGCGCGTTCACAGCCACCGTCCGAAGGGTTTACTGGTAAAAACCCTGCGGCCAACTGGGATGGGCTGGACTGTGCTCCACCCAAATTCCTCTGTTGAAGCTTTAACTTCCTCTACCCTCTGAGTTCTTAGCTGAGACCCTGTCATAGAAGACGGATCCAGAGAAAAAAAACGAACAGAAGTGGATTAGCATGCATTCATCATGCACACATGGGCGATACCCAGTGAAAAAGTAGTAACTCTGCACCGTGGCTTAGAACTCCAGCTTAAATTTCATCTTCAGCTGAAGACAAACAACAACAAAAAACAACACGTGTGGGTGGAGGCCAACGATGGGGCCGTTAGCAGGAAAGGCAAGGTCAAGAGGGTAAGGTTTGTCGAGCAGATTCGAGGAGGTTCCCTTGTGAATTAGTCACCCGCCGTCAGGCGCAGTGGGAGTCGCCTTACAATGGAGCGTTCCCACACAGACGCACATGTCCGTAACGAAAGGGAAACTGTTTTCAGAGCATCTATGTCCGCTGTTTCCCACAAATAATCAGCTCCAAACAGCCCTTATGTCAAAGAGGCATCGTTTGGGGGGGGTGGGGGGTGGTGGTGCATATTCTCCCTTCAACATGTACTTATCCCCCTGGCTCTTTCCTCAAGGTCACCTTGGGCTGCCCGTGCCCCTGCCCCTCCATTGAAGATGACACCTTCCCCGAAGGCTCTACCCTCTCTGCCCTTCCAAGCCCCAGGCCAGGAGGTGACAGCAGCTCTGTGGACACCGCCCTGGGCCACCGCACTGTCTCCGCTGCCTCGCCCATGCCCACCTGCTGCACACAGTGACAATTAGTCACCCGCCGTCAGGCGCAGTGGGAGTCGCCTTACAATGGAGCGTTCCCACACAGACGCACATGTCCGTAACGAAAGGGAAACTGTTTTCAGAGCATCTATGTCCGCTGTTTCCCACAAATAATCAGCTCCAAACAGCCCTTATGTCAAAGAGGCATCGTTTGGGGGGGGTGGGGGGTGGTGGTGCATATTCTCCCTTCAACATGTACTTATCCCCCTGGCTTTTTCCTCAAGGTCACCTTGGGCTGCCCGTGCCCCTGCCCCTCCATTGAAGATGACACCTTCCCCGAAGGCTCTACCCTCTCTGCCCTTCCAAGCCCCAGGCCAGGAGGTGACAGCAGCTCTGTGGACACCGCCCTGGGCCACCGCACTGTCTCCGCTGCCTCGCCCATGCCCACCTGCTGCACACAGTGACTCTGCAAACAGCCACTGCTGTGAGGGCGACATCTGTGTCCTGGGCTGATAGCGCTGTCCTGTCCGTGACGGAGGCGGGACATCTGTGTCCTGGGCTGATAGCGCTGTCCTGTCCGTGACGGAGGCGGGACATCTGTGTCCTGGGCTGATAGCGCTGTCCTGTCCGTGACGGAGGCGGGACATCTGTGTCCTGGGCTGATAGCGCTGTCCTGTCCGTGACGGAGGCGGGACATCTGTGTCCTGGGCTGATAGCGCTGTCCTGTCCGTGACGGAGGCGGGACATCTGTGTCCTGGGCTGGGCTGATAGCACCATTCGTGACGGAGGCGGGACATCTGTGTCCTGGGCTGATAGCGCTGTCCTGTCCGTGATGGAGGCGGGACATCTGTGTCCAGGGCTGATAGCGCTGTCCTGTCTGTGACGGAGGCGGGACATTTGTGTCCTGGGCTGATAGCACCATCCGTGACGGAGGCAGGACATCTGTGTCCTGGGCTGATAGCGCCCTCTGCAAACAGCCACTGCTGTGAGGGCGACATCTGTGACCTGGGCTGATAGCACCATCCGTGACGGAGGCGGGACATCTGTGTCCTAGGCTGATAGCGCTGTCCTGTGTGTGACGGAGGCGGGACATCTGTGTCCTGGGCTGATAGCGCTGTCCTGTCTGTGACGGAGGCGGGACATTTGTGTCCTGGGCTGATAGCACCATCCGTGACGGAGGCAGGACATCTGTGTCCTGGGCTGATAGCGCCGTCCTGTGTGTGACGGAGGCGGGAGACTGAAGGACACCCCCTCCCCTGCTCCTGGAGAAAGGGTCCCAGGTGGAGTGCCTGCATCCGGGTGAGCGATTACTGTAATGTGCTGTCTGCGATCAGGAATCACTTGCTTAAACAATAATGTAGGCATCTTTATGTCGTTTGGGCCTCTAATTGTATTTTTAGTGCCGTGTCTTTTAAGTCTTTATCCTCCTGTTCCCGTCTCTGTGAATTCTTGGAAAGAAGGTCTGTTATAGAAGATGTACTTCATCTCACTATATACCCAGAGGTCAGCGACCACTGACCCTGTGCCCTGAGTCTCACTCTAAAGTCTAGAAGGTGAGCCCCGAGCTCCCACCCGACGAGAGCCCCCACAGCTCATCAGACCCAGCAGGGAACTGGCAGGGACCCAGCTTCCCGCTCTGAGGCTCTCCCGCCCGCCCTGTCCTGTGTGTCTGAGAGTAAGTCAGCCTGAGCTGTGGTAACCACAGCGGCCAACGGGCTGGCGGGCGGCCTCCGCCCTCCCAGTCAGCATTCGTTTGGACATCTGTGTCCTGGGCTGATAGCGCCGTCCTGTGTGTGACGGAGGCGGGAGACTGAAGGACACCCCCTCCCCTGCTCCTGGAGAAAGGGTCCCAGGTGGAGTGTCTGCATCCGGGTGAGCGATTACTGTGATGTGCCGTCTGCGATCAGGAATCACTTGCTTAAACAATAATGTGGGCATCTTTATGTCGTTTGGGCCTCTAATTGTATTTTTAGTGCCCGTGTCTTTTAAGTCTTTATCCTCCTGTTCCCGTCTCTGTGAATTCTTGGAGAGAAAGTCTGTTACAGAAGATGTACTTCATCTCACTATATACCGAGGTCAGCGACCACTGACCCTGTGCCCTGAGTCTCACTCCAAAGTCTAGAAGGTGAGCCCCGAGCTCCCACCCGACGAGAGCCCCCACAGCTCATCAGACCCAGCAGGGAACTGGCAGGGACCCAGCTTCCCGCTCTGAGGCTCTCCCGCCCGCCCTGTCCTGTGTGTCTGAGAGTAAGTCAGCCTGAGCTGTGGTAACCACAGCGGCCAACGGGCTGGCGGGCGGCCTCCGCCCTCCCAGTCAGCATTCGTTTAACCTCACTGCCCTTGGCCATGGTTCTGCGGTTTCTAAGGAAACTGCATGGGCCCCATCAGCAGTTTCCATGAAGACCCCGCCCAGAAACTTCCCCACCGACATTCCTAGCTCACGCAGCCCCTCCCCTTAAAAAAACAAACTCCAGATCTTACAGGAGGGCTCTGCCCTGCGTTCTCACTGCTCTGACACTGGTCTGAGTTGTCCCCTTTATTTTATTTCTCACTTAATAGTGTATTCAGGGGACAGCAGGCAGGCCTCCCCCGCAGGCCCCCAAGTGGCTGAGAGAGCGAGGCAAGGGGGCTGGCCTGGCTTCACTGGGGTAGTGGGTGGGCCAGTGCCCCTGGAAGGAGCATGTGGGCATCCTATCAGCTTTCTG